CGAGACGGCGCTTGGAGAGGCGCTCCACTCCAGCACTTCCACCCGGTAGATTGCCGAAGTCAGTATCGGTGGGTCCAACCTGAATGATCCTGAATGTAAGGAGCAAGATTTTCCAGTTCTAGCTACCCGCGTGAAACGTGTCGCTTTGACGGATGCGTTGCCCCCCAAGGTGCCATGCTTACATGTTGCAGGAGCCCCAGTCGATGGGCATCAAGGAATTATTGGTGTCCTGTTTCCCAACGATGACCGCGACGAGAGGTCCGAAGAGACTCAACAAACCAAAGCTGTCAGACTCGCCGGGGCCCTGGCCCGATGTCCAAAGACATGGAATTCAATGCAAGTTTTCATTCCAGGGTGTCATGATCGACATCGTGGGCTGTATGGCTTGGATCTCGGGACACGCGATTGATTCGTGTTGCTCCAGGAAAAAAAAACAATTGACTTCAACGTTCAAATTGAGCGTTCCTTACCGGTTGCTTGGTTTCAGTTCTTCGGCCATCAAAATCAGGCAGCCATCGTGCGGGCGTCCGTAGTGCCCGACCCTGAGATTCAGTGCATGTATTGTTCAGATGCGCGTATGCTCATGACAGGCATTCTCGTCGTTGCGGCAACTGATGCATGGTTGTTTTTGAGGCCTCTAGCGCTGGTCTTTCAACCAGGTCGCACGCAGGACTTTCATCAAGGGTTTGAATTTTGGTAGTATGTGGCAGCGCTCCCAATCTATTTGCTGAAATTCTTGCTTTGTTAACTTCGCTGTCATCTTCGCGAACGTCACACTGCATTGTTTGCCATCTGGCAGGACGGACATCGTGTCAGCGAGACGTCGTCCTTTGGCCAGGCGTGGAAGACATCCCTGCATTTTGCATTGCGAGAACTCGGCAACTATTAGTTGTACTCAGCCATGCAGGAGGCAAAAAAAATAGTTTGCCGGCCCCTGGGTCCGCGTTTTTGCAAGTACGTTAGAGTAGGCCGAACTGGCTGGTTTGAAAAGGCTTCTGAACTGAATTCTGCTTGTGACAGGTGTGACGTCGAGACAGGAAGCTGAGAGTTCGAAGTTTGGCGGTGTCTTGAGTAAGCCTGAGAAGATGTTCGGGAGAGTTGCTAAACACGAATTGGCTGAGAACCCTTCGGGGGGTTGCTGGGAGTTGTAACTGTTCTTGAAAAGCAGGCGAAACCAACTTGTGTTGGCATCGCGCAATTGCTGTGTCCTCGTCGAGGGCGAGTGCCGAAGAAACAAAAATCAAGACAGTGCAAAAAATGCGGAAGGTGAAGGTGATGTTGCTTTTCGATGAGTGCCAGGTGGTCTTTGGCGTGCCATGCGCCCAGATGTGAGGACTGCACGGCCTTCTCTACATTGGCAGGACAAGACACTTCTCCACAAAATGTGAAGCTTGCTTTGCTAAGCGAACTGAGGCTTGCCAGCCTCGTGCCGTTTTCCATGTTGTACCTCGTGTCCTTCCTGATGCTCGCAGTGCGGCACCAAGCCATGGTTGGCAAAGGGCGAACCTAGACTGCATACTGGCATGACAGTCGGGACCCTTTTCGTTTTAACTTTGCTTATCCTTGCAGGTTGATAGAAATCTTCGGCCACTTGCTCTGCTACTGCCTCGGTGAAGACCAGCTATTTGTCGTTGCCTGTGGCACTGCTTGCAATTGTAATGATTTGCGCCGTTGATAAATTCAAGGAAGGTAGTGAGGCTCGCAGCTACGGAGGGAAGGAAAACAAGTCATTGGACCCGTGCGCATTGGATGTGGTTGGGATTGAGATGACAAGAGCAAGGAACACCAAACATGTACCTGCTCTAAGGTTGGCGCCGTCACGGCCCCAAGCGGTCGATTGAGTCCATTGTTAGCCACTTGAGAATCAAGCACTGAACACTGCGGGTCGAATCTTACTATAGTCACTATAGCAGTCCGCCAGCGATGGTCGAGGTTGCAAATCAACACAGTTTGCGCATACACGGCACACAGGCGCATTCTGTCGTTCCGGGTTTCGAATGGAGCAATTAATAAACAGGGAGGTCGCAGGCCTTGTGTGCTACGAACCAGGCCGGCAATGGCCAGCTGCTGCAATGCAAGATCCTCGGCATTGTGAGCCGTCAGGCTGGTATGCCATGCAAACGAGATTCGTGAGGATCCTGGCAGACTAAGCTTAAAACAACTTCTCTTCACCGATTATTTGTTTTTGTCATGTTACTGTCATTCCAGAGTCATCGTCTCGTGTCATTTCTTGCTGTGGTGCAGCGTGACTGTCCAGCCCAGTTATCACCACACCGCAGTGAAAGGGGTAGTCAGCTGCTTTTGCCAGGCAGTGTCTGGGTAGCCTCCATGTAACTTCCAGACTCTGGACTTGCAGACTTGCTGCCATTGCCGATATTCATGCAGGCCTCAGTCCGTAAGCGCTGCATGAACATCGGGCCACGGAAGCTTGTTGAGTGACACAGTCAGAGGTTGTCCTCGCCGTCCGCGTTTGGATCGGATTTCGTGAGCTGCAGGCCAAGATACGGAGCGTGTGTGTGTGTGTGCGTGTGTGTGTGTGTGTGTGTGTGTGTGCGGGTGTGTGTGTGTGTGTGTGTGTGTCTATGTCTGTGTGTGCGTGGGTAAAAAGATGGTGGACTTCACCCGTAAGGGTTTTCTTTACCCTGTCTCGAGGCATCTCGAGGTCACCGGTGCCATAATTGCTTGCGTTTCCTGCCAGTGCCAGGCCACCGTTCCTGCACAGCCGCCACCTAAGTGTGTTTGGACATATTTTGGCAGCATTGGTTGTCTGATGCGAGACGGCTTCGGAGAGCCTTTCGCATGTGCTGATGTGCTAGAGTTGATCGTGACTTTCATGCTGCAAGTTTGCAGTGGGCTCATTGGATCCAGCTTTTTCAAAAGGAAACACCGGCCCAGAGCGTTGTCAGAGTCAAGGTTCAGTTTTACTACGAATGAAAGATGCAAGCTTCGCATAGCTGGAAAACGCCAGCGATTCCTTCTTGATTCTCAGGCCCCAGCGGGGCGCATCGCGCGAGTTGATTGGGCGCTCCTTGATGACCGGGCACTGCTTCGCAGACTTGTCTCCCATGATCCCCCGCCACGCCCCGCAAGTTAAAGCATCAGGATAACGCGGCAGCAGGGTAGGGGTCAACACGGCCGACGCAGTCTGTCATAACCTCATATGTACCCGAGAAGCTTTGGAAAGCACCCTCGAACACATTTACCGGTTGCTTGGGCTGCTAACTGCATCTTAGGGCTGGTAACGTCCTGCTCTCATCTGGGTATTCTTTGGATGGGCTCTTTTTGAATGTATCCGCCCGGCCGCAAATCTTGCATCGCCAGCGGCTCAAAGCCAATGTGCTTTTTCAGGGTTCCGCGATGCGGGACGGCCTGAAGGCGCGATTGGTTAAAGCTTGCGCGGGCTTTTGCCTCATCCTTGTTGTGTTTCCTTCGCGTGGAGGCTCCATGCCCAGGCTGCCGCAGCCGCTGTAGCTTAAGGCCGCTTCAGCCAGCTCTTCACTGTTATCTGTTATCAAGGCTCTTTGTGGCCAGGCTCAGCGACTAGCCCGAGTGGAATCCGAGATGGGTGCCGGCGCGGGCACCCCCAAGAAGAAACGATATGCGACGCAGTCGTCCCAGCACGCAGCATGCATCTTTGGGCTCACTTGTTGGCAGGCCACGCCCTGGCAGATGTGTATTGTAAGAGTTCGGTATGACTTGGGCGTGGCAGGGTTGTCGACGAGTGGTGTGTTGCCTGTAGAACACTTCTTGCTTCAGGCAAGATGTCGTGGACGAGACGCCGGGTTTCGCTGCTCTCTCGGACCTCAGCAGTTTATGCATGGCAAGCAGGCAGTCATTCTCGAATGCTTAAAGACTTGCCGAAGCCATGAATCTCTGACCTTGTGACGGCATTGAACTCTGTTGTGGTCAGACCTGGCCTGGTGCCAAGGACCACAATGCATGGCGCACGCCCAAGGTAAGGGGGCCTGGATCTCAGTTTCTTACGCTCCTTATGCGACGAGATATCATGTACACGGTCGACTGTTTGTAAGGGTGTCGGACCATGGAATGCCATGCAGTCCTTAAGGGGCAGTGGAGAAGCCATCACAGAAACTCAAGCTGCAAGGCAGGTTCAGCCAATCTCCGAACGTCGGGATGCTGCGGCGTCCTGGTCACCACGGCAGGCAACTGACCAGCACAACTAGAACCACAGGGCCGCGACGTTGAGACTTTGATGGTGTCAGTGTTTCAACAAAAGTTTCGATCGCATCATGCCACCTGTCGTATTGAATTGCGAGAGGGGCCGACTCTTTGCAACTGCCCATAAGTTTGACAGCCAGTTGATTGACCATGCTTGCAAACGCGTCTGACTGGCAGGGAGGCAAGTCAGCCTCTGAAGCAGCACGAGCCCAGGAAGTCAAGGAGATGAAGCCGGGGGCCCCAAACCGGAAAGCCCTGCAACCATTTCGTTGGCTCAAAGCCTGACGTTCACCTAGGCAGCGTAAGCAGTAGGCCAAATGAAGCTGCCAGGACTTTTTACTGCATTTGCTGCATAGTCTGTCGCACATGACTGTTGTGTGCCTTGGTGGTGCTTGGGGCGTGTATGTTGCCACTTTTTTGTCTGTAGACCGGTTGTGACTGGGCAAGTTGTCGGCTTTCACTGTTCTTTGGCACTACGACCCCAAGCCTGCTACAAACGGGGCTTCAATGCTACTAGTAGCGAGCATCATCGAGCATCAACAGGCTCGGAGTGACAAGGCTTCACTGGCAAGGACGACGATGGTTCCTGCCCGTCGAAATGTCCTTTGGCTCAAGTACGACGGTCCCGCAAGCTCAGATGCCGCTGCAACCTACATGTAGGCCGGGGTGCAGATTACGAACCTAGGGATGCCCCCTATCCGTTGCGGAGGGATCCAACAAGCCTGCAACGTTCACCTGATGCTACTGCCGCTACGCTCCACGCTGAGCTCATCACTTCAAAAATAATGCACCGAGCCCCGGCCCTGGCCCGAATGCAGGCGATGACAACGCACGATCCAAGGCAGACCGTGCCGGTAGCTTCCCTATAGCGGTAACTAGCAGTTATGATAACATGTCCTGGGGCGAGAACGTGCTCACCGAAGTGATACGAGTTGCGGATGCTCCATGATGTTACATGATGTTGCTTTGATTCATTTGGCGGGTCTTGTATCAATCTTACTGGAATGCCTGTGGTCTCAGTTTTGCTTTCAGCAATCTAATGCATTCGCGCACGTCTCGACCCCTGATTGCCATAAGCAAGCCAGGTGGCATAGTTGCAGCTCGTGTGCAGCTCCAGCTGTCAGAATTTCTTAGTGCCGTGTTTGCATGTGTCGGCCATGACTCGTCACACGGGCTCGTCACGACTCTCCGTCGCTTTCCTTTTGAACCGGGATTGTCGGAAGGCTGAACAGCCTGGAGGATGACGAGTCTGTCGGCAGCTTTGTGGAGGCACTCCCAGAATATGTTTCTCAGTGCCACCAAAGAAAGTGCAAGGTATTGCTTGTCCCTTCGAGCCCCACATTCTAAGACGGAGCGGGCAATCGAAAGGCGCTCACTGACACATCTCTCAGCTCTCCTTAGCGTTGCCAGACGGAGTCCAGCTCGAGCTCTTCGCAGAATGACAGGACGGGCCTTGGGCCGAAGCGTGCGTTTTTTCTGGCGTGCAAAGAAGGGTTCGGGTCCTTGGTGGCGTTTGACATTGTATTACCGAGGATCGACCTAAGGGGCGGAGACTTTCAGATGAGATTTCGACATGAATTCGTCCATCTGCATGCTGTTTAGGACAACCTTTAGGATTTGATTGTGCAGTGCAGTTGTGTGGAGGGCACGCGACATGGCGATGCATGGCAATCTCCTCGGCCAGGGCTACATCGTGCTGCGTTGTGTTTCCAGAAAGGTCACTGTCATGGACCCGTGCAGCGAATGCTCACAAGATCTCACAAGAATTCGGCACTGAGGCGAGCAGGAGAACTTCACGGATTCTTGCCTTACACTTTGGCACGGCGCAGCCGGATCTGCTAGGTCCGGTAGCTGAGCACATGTTCCAGAGGCTCCTTGACATAGTTCCCCATGCGGTTGCTCCGCATCTGCCTACATCAGGACGGCTTCTGGTTCTGCAGTCTGGTTGCCTGCATTTGCCTGATAAACCTCTTCGCTCTGGGTGTGGAGGTTGACAACCGCCCCTCGGCACGACGTGCAGTCACATGTTTGTTGGTAGACACCGCAGATACAGTTGCATGCGGTGGTGCTTCATACCGTCAGATGCCGATCTTCGTAGTACAGATTCGGCGGAGTTCAGGGGGCTGCAAAACATGCTCGGCACTGCCTGCTTCAATTGTCAGTCAGCAGTGGTAGTCTGGTTGTATTGGTCGCCGTCGATGTGATGATGGTCTGTAGAAGCAGCAGGGTGGTGGTGATGGTGGTGGTAGCAGTAACAGTAGCAGCAGCAAGTACAGGAAGAGTGCTAGCAAGCCATCATCAGCGGTGAAGTGAAACATGTGAAACCGGTGGGCTTAGGAGGGGGCAGAATGCAGCAGGCAGGTGTAGCCATGCAAAGCACTGTTTGGTAGTGTGACTGACGCTTGCCAAGCACAGCCGGCAAGGGGTCCTTGTCTTTATTTCAAGACCTTGACGCTGAGGTTGCCAGTCCGGAGACTGCGTTAGTCAGAATTCTTATTTCGAGCCCCGGCAGCACAGACGAAGAATGTTCTACCTGAGTCTGCACCTCGCCAGAGGTGGCAAATGATCTAGAAGCTGATAAGCGAACTGTTGATCTGCAGAACTGTCGCAGCATTGGAGGCGTACACTTCTTGCAGCCTCTCCTAACCATATCGAATCGAGTTCTTGACTCTTGAGGCAACATTCGCAAGTAACAGGTCTTGAAGTCTTTTTTGCGTGGTGTTCATTTTAAATTGATTCCAGCACCCTGTTCAGTGTGGCGTTCAGTCCAAGCGTTTTCATGGGTTCCCCATGCAAATGCTATTCCGCGTCATACTGAACGCACGTTGGACTCAGAATCCATGTTTTGCATTTCTATGTCTGCCTTGAGCGCCCTTCAGCAGGTATTCAGCATAGGTCCTCCGCAGTCCACTCTGAGACAGCTCTTTTTTCCCAGTAGTGCTCGTCATACTGTTTAGATGGGGTCTGGAGTTGGTCGCAAGGAGCTCTGATGCGACCTCTTACGGTATGAGATCAGTTCGCCCTTTCCCAGCATTTACAAGAGTGATGTGGCTTCACACGCACTGGTCTGACTTAAGTTGCCCCCTTGTGGTAGTCAGCTAGTAGCATCACCGATGCTCTCGCGTGCAAGGACATCACCAACACCGTGTTCACAGCATCTTGTCCGTGTTGGCAAAGCAAGGTGGGCCCAAGCTCCGCCTGCTCGACAGCCAGCCCTAGAAGCCAGTGGCACCTTCCTATTCGCATTGTTGTCGTTGCCACCGTGAACACGTTGCAGCAGCAGCACCAGCAGCAGCCCATCACCACCACCACCACCACCACCACCGCCACCGCCACCGCCACCGCCACCGCCACCGCCACCGCCACCGCCACCGCCACCGCCACCGCCACCGCCACCGCCCACCGCCAGCGCTCCGCCCCTGCCACCGCCACGTCATGCCAGCAGCAGCAGCAGCAGCAGCAGCAGCAGCAGCAGCAGCAGCAGCAGCAGCAGCAGCAGCATCATCTTCAACAGCTCTTGCACCACGACCATTAAATCTTATTATCAGCATCCTCGTTTCCATCCACGCCGTCATGCAAGCGTGATCGGATCCGTAGTCAACCGAGCCCAGGCACTCTTCGTTCTGGACGTGGGAATTCGAATTCTCGCTACAGGGCCACGCCTGTATTTTCTTGGACCACCGAATCGGGACTGGGAAGAAACTGCATGAACATGATCAAGACCAGGTTGCACATCTGGAGGGTACAGGCTTTGGCAACATGACATCGGCTGAGCATAGACTTCGAGTTGACATATTGTAAACATTCTGCATGCTGTGTCCTGGCTGTCAGATATTTAGCCAGAGTTATATTTGCACGGGCTCGTTGCCAAACTGAATCTCGCGAAAACCAGGACTGCATCCCGTCGGGCCCTCAGATCACCTCTGAGGGGCAGCTATCCTGGCAGCGTATCTTGATCCCACTATCCGTCCACGAAAGTCGCTGTGTGGAAGTTGCGATTGCTTTGGGGTGTGGAAGTTGCGATTGCTTTGGATTGGTCGGGTCGGAGCCTTTCAAGGATAGAGTTCGTGAACTGCATCGACACAATGCTCGCCGCCCGCTTGCAAGCAAGGCGGATGGTAAAGACAGGGAGCGGCTGCACAGTGATTATACCTGCAGGTCTCGTGGCTTGAAGAAACCTTTTTTGCCCAGGTGTTTCTACGAGTTGTCGATGTCTGGCTGCTGGCCCCTTTCGGCGTCGTCTCGAACCTGAAGTTTGCGAGTGCCTTCAGGCAAGTATCGATAGTATCGTTTCAAAGTACATGGTGTCATCCGGCGCTTTCGCTGGGAAAGGATTTTTCATGTTTTTCGAGCCGTTAAGCCCCCGCCTCAGTTATTTTGCGTCTTGAGTGGCACCACCTCGTCACGTGCCATCGAATGGAGACGCATGTGAAACTGCCAAGGCAAGTGCAGCTCAACGCGTCCTTTCGGGAACTCTGGCTGGTCGTATCCGCACTCGGCGAGACTATGTGGAGCCGTGCCACGAATGGTAGAAAAACATCTAGGCTGACGGCTAGCATTTGCCATCCGTGTTGGTCTATAGCCCGAAATTTCACGTCTTCATTTTTCCTGAGTATTTTCGGCCGCGCGCTGGGGCTGTGAGAGTGCAAGCACTTTTCCGTGTCAGCAGCGGTCTAGCAAACCTCGACTCGTCAGTAAGGCCTGTATTTCGGGACTTCCGCCTGAGCGGAGGGAGGGGTGCGTTTACCCGACTATCCTGCGGTGTCTCAGTCCTCGTCCTCAGGACACTTTTCTGGGTCGGCGTCATGATCATCGGCGTCATCTGGGTCTGCGGCATCTTGTTTCTCGGTTTGTCGCATTCATGCATCAAACTGATGGTTCTCAGCTTGGGACACGGTGCCCCGGGCACCGGCCAGAGTTTCCTGGACACTCAGGGTCACCATGGCGGTGGCGGATCAGAAGCGAGAGGAAAGCAAGGGCCTGCAATGCTGCAAGACGCTAAAGCGAGAGTCGACTTTCGCCGGGTTCTGAAGTGTTGCCCAAAAGGCCCAGCCTGGTCAGAAGCAGCTTTGAAGGACTTCAACCTGGATCGTGCAGAGTGGGACTTCGATGAGCAACCTGGAATCAAGATTAGGCAGAGGACCAACAAGCCACAGGAGTCACTAGAGGATTGCAACGAATCCATGCTGGTTCCCCACCTCTGCTGCAACACAGGTGGCCCCCACCCTCCTAGCTTACGTCAGACCCGACAACCAGAACGACACATGGCACTGCTGTCAATGAATGTCAATGACATTATGCCGATCTTGCGATCACACCCTTCGCTTTCGGCGCTGCCTCTGCATACATGTTGTTCAAGGTACTGGGGAAGTGTCCTCCGCAGTTCGTGCCTCTGGAAGCAGGAAGAACCTCGTGCATTCGGTGAGCTATGGTGGCTTGCGTAGTCTGCTCGTCTGGCTGCAGCTGTGACAGTGTTGCTGCCGCCCCATCGCAGTTGCCCAGGTATTCCCTGTTCCAGGCAGAGCGGATGTTTGGAGTTTGGTCGATCAATACTCTCGAAATGTGAAGTCCCCTTTCCAATCCTCTGGTGTTTATGCGGGGCTGTTTTTGTCAAGAGGAGGCTTGTTGTTGGATGGGGGAGGATGGGTGGAAGGCCTCTGCGAACTCTTTTCTGCTTGTGTCGTTGCAGACGGATCTTTTCCGCTATCCGCGAGTGCTGTCCCCTGTAGCCTGGAGCTGGAGCATGTAGGTTATGTATTCGCATGTGGCAGCGGCAGGTTGTGACACGCGACAAGTGGTCGGACTCCTTGGTGCGACTTTGCACAAAAGTTAGTGGGTGCTTGTTTGCATGATTGTGCAGGCAGCCAGTTCCTGTGCACCGTTGTCATGTTCAGCAGCCTCTCCTTGTCGGACTGCTACCCAATCTGGAGCTGACTATGGCAACATCATTTCCGATTTTCACAACGCAAGTTCTGGACCCCATACCCCCTTACCTCGCTCACTCAGATGGCCTCTCGTCGAAGAGCTCCATAGCTGCAGGATGAGATAAGACTGCTAACCAGCAGCATTTTTTCCCTGCCACCTTGCACGGACCTGATGTTAACTTCCACCAGAAGCGAGGGTGCAGCTGTGGAATGAAGCCATCCTCCGAGGAATCCCGGGTTGATGGTGGTGTTCATCTGCTTCCTGACGGTTGCCAGCCTGGTCGGACCCTGAGAATCGAAAGAGTCCGGCATACGACCAAATCGGGGTAAAGTCAAACATGGAAGACCAGGTGGCTGCAGGTATTCATATTCACGAATCATGCTTGACTGGGTCGTAGCACCACTTGAGCAGCAGCTGAAGGCGTTGAAGGCCTTACTGTATGCAGCAGATGCAGTGGACCGAACTTTGCGACAATTCGGGAGAGGGGCCCACCCCCCATGCCCTCGCCTGGCACACCACCCTGCCACCCCCACTCCCCACGCCTGTCCCCCTCCCCGCCCCAACCCTCGACCCGCGAATGGTCGGTCGAAATCTCAGCAGATTGACAATGTCAAACTTTGAGATGGTCCTGGCCCTCCATTAGGCGATGGCGGCTGATCCCATACCTGTCTATATCTTAAACTCGCCCCCCCAATTCGGCGATGGCGGTTGGTCGTAAACTCGCCTCCTCATCAGGCGATGGTGGTTTTTGTTCGTGTCTCATTCCAGGACCCTCGTCAGACGATGCTGCTTGATCTCATATCTTGAACTGCCCCCTCCGTAGACGATGGTCGTTGAACTCATATCTCACATCCGCTCCCTCGTTGGGAGATTGGCGACATTGTCAGCATTTGTCAGCTGTGCGGGTGCAAAAAAATTCAGGGAGCGCGGTTGATCGCATGTGTGAAACCCAGCCGCTCATTAGGCGAGTTCGGTTGAATTTCGTATTTCCGTCCCCTCATCAGGCGATGGTGGTTGATTTCATACTCGAGGGTGTTTCTATGTTCCGCGTCCACGGTTTTTGCAAAACCGGCCATGTGACGGGGTTTGAAGAGTCCGCGAAAGATTCGCTAAAGCAGGCGCGAAAGTTATATCACCACACGATAACTGATAACACACTGCAAGATTCATTGAGCCCAAACAAGCACGCGATCCCTTAGTCCAAGCTTATTGCAAAGTGTGAACATGTTGTGAGCCGTGAGCCTTGCTTAAACTCTACGGGGCACGGAGAATCAGTTCCGCACTTCCCCCAACCCTTGCAAATGCAAACTGGGGACCTGAAGTTGTGACGCCGAGCCCTTAACTTGAACGAGTCCTCAGACCTTGCCTTGACTCGTGCACTGCACCTTCCGGAATAGCATTTCGTGAACTCTCTCAGAGAGTTGGTACTTAAAGGCCGTAGCCAAGCCCTTTTCGTCAATACCTGTCCTTTCTTGTCTGGCAGTTTGCCAAGAGAAGTAATGGCTGAGGTTCTGAACAAGTTGAATAGTTGAATCTACTTCCACCGGATCTCAGTGAGAGCGATGGCCCATTATCTCAGGTGTACTTCTTAAGGGAAAGTGTTGTTGAGCCATCCAGCAAATCTCGATAGCACAGCTTCGCACAGCATTAGCAGACCTTGAACCATGTGCCTCGCCTGGATTGTCCGAGTGTGAGCGCCGATTCGCAGAAACACGGAAACTCACGAGGCACCATGTCCGAAAGCAGGCTTAGACATGCTTAGACTAGATGCTTCAACAACAACAACAACAACAACCCAGGGAACCCAAGTTTGAAACCTGGGTTTAACCTGGGTTTGAACCTGGGTTTTAACCCCAGGTTTGAACAACTATTTTTGGAGACGAAGTTGTTCAAACCCAGGTTCGAACTGGACCTGGGTTGATCAGATTCAACCTGGGTTCGAAGCAACCATGGTGATGGAAATACAGGTTTTGCTCTCAAGCCTGGTTGGTGCAGGGCGCTCCTGCGGCCGACCTCAAGACAACGTGTGTATGTATGTCTGCATGTATGTATGTACTGACATGTTGAAGGGCTCAGTTAGTGCGCTGAGTGTGTGCGGTCTACCCAGAACGGCCCGAAGCCTCGCCTGCCTGCCGAGTGCGAGTGACAACAATGTATGTATGTATGTACGCATGTCGCAGCTTGCATGTATGCATGCATGCATGTCTGTCCCCTCATTCAGTGTTGGTTGCTGATCCCGTCTCTGTGCATAGCTTGAACCCTTCCTCGTTAGGCGACTGTGGTTCATTCCAAGCTCCATCATGCCGGCCTGGTGGGGGAAGGGATTTACGGGCGGGCGGGTGGGTGGGTGGGAACACGAAGACACCGAACTACCACCAAATGCAGAGATTTCCGTTAAGCACTTGACCCGCGTCTAGGACTAGTCCCAAGTGCCTGACTTCTGAACTGAGTCTCTGATGAACTCCGTGATTGGTGTCGTCGTCGCGGCCCGGCTGCAAGAAAGTAGATCTTCATGAGTGACGGCGCAATTTTGGCAGGCACTGGGTTAGCTTAGATCTTCGGAGCTCGATGATGTCGAGGATGACGACAACCAGCATGATGACGACGTGCTGGTGATGATCGTGCATGGTTTTGATAACGGATACGGTAAAGCAACCAAATCTAGCCTCACTACGACGACGATGATGATTATGAACTTGATAATTGAGGATCATTGCTGGTTGCCCCCGTCTGAACCCTTCGTAGTCTGAGAAGTCATGGACACAACGTGCGGCTTCAAGTTTGACTCGCCAGTCCGGCGTCTCCTTCTTTCAAAACACCCCCTAGCTGCGCCTCTTCGTGTCACAACTGCTTCGAGGAGAGCACCTTATCAAGTGCACGAGCCACGGCAGATCGAGAGAAGAAGGCAGCTTGGTTTGGATTCAACTTGTTCCAATCGGCAGTCCTCGGAAATGCAATGTGGCCCAGCGGGGAGATGTGCTTGTGTAACTTCGTTGCTCAGCTGAGGTGAAGGAGCGAATTGATAAGTTGGCTCGGCGCTTGGCGTGCCAACAGATGCATGTGGGTGAAGGGTCTGTGTAGTCAGGTTCTGCAGTCCATGCGCGAAATCTTCGAAGCAGCAGACACCGATAAGTCTGGACGGCTGGACAAGGACTTCGTGTCATGTACAGTTCACTGAATCTTGACGTGACAGCGTGAACATCAGACCTTCCGCTAGATCTTAGCCTGAAGCTGTTGGACCGTTCTGTTGCATGTGGCAGGACGAACTGCAGGCGTCCTTCCGTGCTTTGGATCGAAGCTTTATGCCAATAAGCGTGTGAAGTGCTTGTGCACTCGGCTTATGGGATGCTGGAGAGTCCTTCAGGGTTTCAATCGCTGCTGGACTTTGTGTCGGTGTTTCCTACGCTGTAAAGATGGAGTGTAGCCTATTGGCATTCCTGTGGCCGGCTGTGATCTGGTAAATTGCTGAAGGCAACCATCGGGTCAAAGATCGGTTGAAGCTGCTCCAGATACCCTTCAAGGCAGGGCTTCAATACGGCTGCGGCTGCAAGAGTGAGGTCAACGGGTAGTTGTCTTCCAGATTCGTTAGCTTCGCAGCATCCGGGCTGAGCCCATGGAGGACACCAGTAGGCGTCGACTGCCCTTAATCTTGAGTGCCACGGCCAAAACCGATACTAGATGAGCCCAATACATTAGCCGGCGAGCGCAAACTGCGCCGTGATGAGCCACCGAGCGGCCGCAATTGCATTTGCTGTTGGCATGTTTACTGCCCGGGCATAAACTACCCTGGCGATGTTATGGGATGAAAACGGGAAGTTGCGGCTGTTGCGGGCACAGACGAGGACCTGGAAATGCTCTTTGGCATTCTTGACGATGAGAACGACGGGGAGATCAACACAGACAAGTACACATGCCTGCATGTGGACAGGTTTGCATTCGTGGATGTGGAACAGACGGATCAGAATGCCTGGAAAGAGCATGAAAGAGCCACGTAGCTATAGAGCTTGGTCTTCATATGGTGCTCTGGAACTTCTCTCGACCACAGCAACACTCTCTCACACACACACACACAGACTTATGCAAGGGGTGCGGTGCCGTGTGCTTGAGAGAAGTGGCGCGCTCTTTGTCGGCCAGCCGAGGTTCTTCCGCGGTGTCGAGCGTCTGCGAGGGCAGGCTGCCGCTTCTGACCTGCACCAGATGCACCGCGGCTCAACAGGAGGACTTACTGGGAGTTCCTGATAGGAGACATAGGCCTGGCAAAGTCGAGACGTCTCAGCTTTGCAGCAGTAGCGATTACCAGCGGCTGTTTCAGCTGAGGAACATAGATTTGAACAAGCGGTTGAAATGGTGCGACTCGCACCAAAAGGAGGCTCGGGCTGCGGGCGCTGTGAGTGGCAGAATCGTGCAGTGGGTTGACATCCTGTCGTTTCCCAAGATCTGGGCATGATCGGCAGGCTTTTGTGATTCAGGCTTTGGTGTGTGTGTGTGTGTGTGTGTGTGCGTGCGTGATAGGTTCCGGTGAGTGAATGGTGTTCTCTGCAGCTGCCATGGAGGTTTTGTTGTCATGGCTGGCTCTGGCTGGCTTGCTTCCTGCAGCCAGTTTCTTGCATGTTCTCCAGCCAGTGCCACACCGACGATTGTCGATCCGGGTCGAGATGAAATTCGCAACAGGTCACCGACCTGAACGACCATCTTGCTGAACTGCTGGATGCTGTTGACGACATGGACGGCAACATTGCACATTGGACAGATTTGGAGAGCATCATCGCCTCCCGCGCTTGTGACGAACACCCTTGTACCTAGGACCTAGGATCTCATCTCCGAACGAAGTGACTTGCCGAGTCGCCAGATCTTTGTGCCATTGACACATGCCTCGACAGCAGAGGTCCGCAGCGATGTGGACGAGAAGGTGCATTGTCACGCGTGCGAGATGATTTCACGACTTGAGCAGGGCATGCATGGGATGCAGGGGCCCGAGTAAAGTGGTGCATGTGAGTATTCGCACTTGGTTCACGAAGGATCCGGTCCTCATGGCGAAGCGGGTGCGGCAAAAGTTCGTAAAGTCAGAGCAGCTTCGTGGGAAGAACTTCAAGAAGGGCAGCTCGGACAGCACATCTGCGAGTTGGCACGAAGAGGGCGAACTTGCGATTCCGGAAGTTGCAGACTGCCTGGCCAAGCTCGATTCTCATGCCAAAGTATCTCAAAAGCATGAATAGGGAAGCTTCGGCTTTCAGCACATGTTGCGGAAAACCTAGCGCGGGAAACAGGGTCAGGAGTCGTCTCTTCAGATGAAGTGCAACTAGTCAGGAAGACTGGCGGCTGGTCAGTTAGCAAGCAGGCTTGAAAGACTAGCAACGTTCGTTGGCCGCTGCGGCCTGAACCTTCGCACAGCCGAGGCCAGCAAGCACCAGAGGCTTACAACCCGTGGGAAGAAATGCGGCGGAAAGAAGTGACGCTCCTTCAGCAAGCAGTCGGTTCCGGGGGAAGAGCAGCAGTGTCCCAAAGCAGCATGTCACAGAAGTGCGAAGTGCTCTCAGTCTCAGTGTTCACTGCTACTTGATGCTAGCTGTATCAGCGGGCTTTTCGAAGGGCTTCAATGTTTGCTGATTGAACTTCAAGGATGGCCCGGCGTCTTGAGAAGAAGAGACTCGAGGCCAGGCATGGCGCCGACATCGTCGAGCGAGCGAACGCAAGTGCTAACTCGTGATCGTTCGCTTCCAACCTTGCAGGACCATGACAAGATCCAGAGGAAAGAAGCCGAGAAGCCGCTCTGAGAGTTTTTGAATTCCAGGGGCTTCGGGGATCACAAAGACTCTGACAAAGAGCCTGCAAGGGTTGAGTTTTGCAAAAGAGATTTCAGATGATTTCAGAATCTCTTATTACAACCACTACTGAAAAATGCAAGATCTCATGTCGAATCGACACCGCAGCGGATGATGTCGTAGCCTCCTCCTGCGCAGGGCTGCTCAGCGGAAAGCCTTTGAGGAGGCACCGGCGCTTGCATCACTTGCATCGTTTCGGCTACGATGGCTCGATCCTGTGCATATAGCTCTGCAGTGTAAATGCCGGTGCCCAGCCCCGCCCGGAAACTTTGTGGGTAGTACCTACCAAGATTGCAATGCCTGAGCTTGAACATGCACTGTCTATGCCCACGTGTAATTCAGACAGGAGCGGAGTGCGCGTGCCGCGCGAAAGCAAGCGCAGCACCTCGCCGGAATGCTCGGGGTGCTTGTCAGGGTTTAGGGTTTGGTTTCCGGCATGCATAGCGCCAGGTGCAAAAAGGTTTTGGGTGTGGGGCCATTGCATCCCCTGCGAATCCGTTTTTGGATATGAACCATCTATAGTCAGACAGGATGCCCTCAACCACAAGCAGCCAAAGACTTCAGCGAGTTCATGCGAGCCTGACAATCTACTCTCCATAACACGATGTACAATGCCCTGCTCGGAATGCTTTCTACATGCTTCTGCAAGCTCCCTTCGGGTGCTTGTTCTCGCGCTGTGCAAGCAAGCGGTCCAGCAAGCCTATCTGCGCGCCAAAGCTGCACACTCCGTGATGATCCGGTGCTCAAGGAAATCTCAGCCACCTCCACCACCTCTGCCTCACCATCTGCAGCGCGTAAAGGAGCAGCATCTCGGAAAGCAATGGAGTGTATGGTGTCAAGCTACACCTGCCTAAAGCCTCAGACACACCTATGTACCGTATGCAGTGCTGGGAAAATCTGGGAAACAGAGGCCAATCATTTTAGACAGTCTCGGCTCCATTCGGCTCCTTCAACGGTACAGCGGTACAGCTGTTCAGGTGTGCTTCATACGACTCCTGTTCTAATGGTAGGATAAATAGAAACATGCCTCTGGCGCAGTTGTCATACCATGCACGTTCGGATGGCCACTCGGAGAGCTACGAAGCGCGGGTGTGCTGCAGCCACAGCACCTGATCCTGTCTGTTAGTGCGAGGGGGACCTGCCTTTCGTAACATGATGCTCTTTCTGTGGAACATATCTCATTGTGTGCCAACTGCCGAGGCAGCAACTGGCCAAGGCGCCAACCCGCTGCCCAGACACAAGAATGGTATTCAGGGTTGTAGGCAGGTTCCCCTGCGACCCCATGAAGCACCAGCAGTGGGATACGTCACTGTGCGCTAGCTGACAAAGATTAACAAAGACTTTCGGCTCGCTAGTTGTCGCTGCTTGAGCACGAGCAATGCAAGGAGCTCTGCACCCGGAAGCTTAAACATTCTATCGGCCCCTTGCTTGACAATCCTGCACACAGACTTGATCTTGACGCTGCCATCCGTCAGACTACCCTCAGCTATAGTTCCAGTTGAGATCGTTCCACAAGTCCTTGGCAGGAAAAGAAGCGCATAGAGAAGCTGCGGCGGCGTGCTGCAGAGGCGCAGCCGGTGATTCGCAAAAGTTCGCATCGGGCTGAAGCCAAGCACTGAGGCCAAGGGATCGGGTTAGATGGAGCTTCCGACCGCATGACTACCGAAGTTAAGTACGTCTGAGACCTAACCTGTGCAGGCTGTGAAGCAATATGCTACAGCATACTTGTGCTTGGGGTTTGCGTGGCGGAGATCGAGTCTTCCAAAGCAGTCGAAAAGAAGACTTCACTCAACGAGAAATCCGGACAGGAAAAGAAAAGAGACGTCCTCGGTCAAGCTCTCAGCTTCAGCGAAGTGAAGTAACGATACATCGCAGGACTTTCAGTGCTATGCAGACAGAGTGCCAGCACTGCGCAGAACAGGTTCACAACAATGTTTGTATTGTTCAGAAGTCAGGTTGAGCATCAGCCTGTCGGTACATGTTGCTTCATGTGCTTGTTCCCTGGCTTGCCTGAAACTCGTGCGCTCAGGACATATGTTTTGAATGCGTCGTGGTTCAGGCGCTTCTCTTGACAGCCAAGCACGTAATTTGAGGAAGCTTGCAAGGTGACTTGCAACAGCTCCTAACTCAAGTTTCGCTCCGGATATCGGCTGTGGGCCGCTGTCTCACATTCAGAAGATAGCAATGAGCACTTGTGCAGCTGGCAGTGAGACATGACAGGTCAGCTATTCGTCCATCCCAGGCTGGTACATGTTCTTCGTTGACGTAGCATTGAACAGGAGATGCGATCTTGCATGAATTCGTGGACGTACGGCACATTGGCGTGTGAGCAGCTGACCGGAGGTTTGGTTTGCCGTGTAGAACACACAAACAACGGTCAGCAAAAGCAGCAAAGCTTGAGCAGCCTTACTGCAAGATGCTGCAAGTTAAGGTGAGCTCAGTAAATTTAGTAGTTAGTAGGCGGCCCTTCCGCTATGCTCTCCTCGACTCTGATTTAAAAGCCCTGTCCTGAATTACTCGGGATGTCGATCGAGTTTGTCCGAAGCGGTCGTGCGGATGTTGCCAGCAGAAGTCTCTACTTGTACTGCAGTCTTGAGTAGAGTCTTTGAATGTAAGGCTGTTGCTACCCCTTAGGTCCAGGTATGGTCACAGCTCTCACGTCAAAGTTCTTGGGGACGCTTAAAGTGTTCCTTCCCGGCCTCACTTAGACTGCTTCGACCCTCGCGAGTGCCAGTGATGTGAACAAACCGCACAGTGCCCTGCCGGTGTGTGTCTGTTTGTAGAAAGCGTGTTTGCAGCCTAGTTAACACAAATTGGCCACCGAGCAACGAGTGGGGGCCAGAGTCTGTCCAGAGTCATTTGCGACAGCAGAGTTTCCTGATGCGTGCACACCGCATTTCTGAAGCCTCTGCGTGGAACCTACAGTACCCCGAGGGCCAAGATGACGCCGATGCCGAAGGTCAACAGACCTCTCAGCAGTCCGCGGCTCAGGGCCTCGACTCCTGGCTGTGCGTCAGAGGCTTTTAATGCGTAGCCTGGCCTAGTACTTCATAGATGTACACCATCCCCATACATACATACGTCCATATATGCATACATGTTACAGGCAGACATAGACAGGCAGAACGACAGACAGACGGACCGACAGATAGATAGATAGATAGGGATAGATAGTTGGAGACCATCCACGAAGTTATGCGTGAGATCTGAGCACTCGACACGCGGAGCTAAGTTTCGCGACACCTGCCTGACAGATTCTTGCTCTGCCGCTTCGTATGTTGGATCAAGCAATCAATGCCTCTCAAGATCCCGGAGGTCAGAAGTCTTCTTCACCTCAAGTTTGTATGTGGCCTTTGGAGCAACAGCAAACTACTCTGGCTTCGTCAGACCACCCTAATCTCCACCCTTCTGCGAAAGTCGCATCATGCTTACGTTTCGCGCCGTGCTCGCCCGCATAAACGCTGGCACGAAGTGGATCGTCTCAGGAGAGGAGCTGTCATTGGACACGTCACTGGGTGCTGCTGTTGGCAAGGGTGAGTGTGAATGGCTGAAGCACTCGAGCGTACTCAACATGTCCATGCTAACCACACTGACGACAGGTTCTGAACAGCCCATCAAGTGCCCAGATGAGACAAGCAAGCGCATGAACTCAATAAGTCGAACCGACACTCCTGTATACTCCTGTCTTACAGCAGGGGCCGTCTTGGGGGTGATCCTGTGGCATCGCCACGACGCCACTTGCTGGGCTCTTCTGGGATCCGTGCTTGCGGCCGCCAACTGCAAGCTGTGGAAGACACCCGGAGTCAATCCTTCAACCCTGCCCTCGAAAAATTCCAGGCCTCAGAAGCCAGTACTGTGATGACATGACATGACATGCAGTACGTGCGGAACCGACTTATGTTCACAGACTAGGACTCTGCCAACTGCTGCCATTCAGACGGTGGCAGGCTGTCATTTTTTTCAGCAGATGGCAGCTGTGGTTGTTGCTGTGGTCTCAGGATACTCTTGAATCAGTCTCGGCCGGCGGGTGCGCCAAAATTGGACCGGGCCTGAGGGAGTGTCATCCGGTGGTGTCACGGTGGCGTTAACCACTTGATGCCAGAGTTTGGCGCACCGTTTGTAAGGACCCCGGCATGCCTTCATCGCATGCACAAAGCCTGGGCTGCTCGACTCACCAGTCAGTCCTCAGCAGCAGCCTTGAAATCGCCCGCACCACATGTGCCGCAATTCTGAACAGGCTTTCTTTCGTCATATGCTGCTCTGGACCTCATCGTGCCCTTCAGCGACTCTGGGATACGCTTGTGGCAACCAGGCCTCGTAATGCACATCTCGAGCGTTCCAGGTGTTCTTTGCTTTAGGACTTGGTTAAGGTCCACCTGATTCCAATGACAGTACAGCTTTAAGCTGAAGATGCAAGTTGTCCTCACACCACCAACCCCTCCAAAAATATCATAGACAGGCCTTCGTCAAACCGTCGAGGTGCATCACGTGTTCTGGCCGGAGCTGGGATCCTGGCAAGTGCGCGACTCGACCCCGCTTAAAGGAACGCGACGGACCGCAACCTATCTGGTTCGACGAGAAAGATGTGTCGTAGAGAAGGAAAGCCTCTGGCTTGGTCTCATGCGTGGAGATAGGAGGTTTGTCAGTTTATGTTTCCCACGTTGTGCTGCGAGTTTCGCCGTGAACCTTGCATACATGTTACAAACCTGCGGTACGACAACCAATATTGTGAATATGCCAGCCTCGTAGTTACGACTGCACGCAACATCACGGAACGAAGGCTGGGCTTTACTTGGCTCCGGGTTACACTGGGTTTCCACACCTCTGCCCAGGCTCTGCAGATAGGGAGTGTCAGACCAGCCCATCGCTACCGCATGTTCAGGGGCCAGGGGCGGACCGAACCAGCCTGCCGGTTTCCCTGAGGTGGCCGTTGGATTTGGGCTTGGAGTCGCCAGTGCAACAGTCTGGCAGTTCCTTTATGGTTCCGCATTTCTTCCTGCGTTGGCGGCCGATGCAACTGGACAAATTCGACTGGGCTTCTACGTGGCCACAGCGATGGCTGCCACCCTGTGGCTGATGCAGCACTTACTGTCGATGTTGGTTTTGATTTTGCAGGTTTTTTTGGTGTAGTGTAGCCAACATCGATCAACGTCAGAGTGTGCTGTTGGAATTTACGTTGCAGAGAGGGCAACCAGTTTTTGCTCAGCCACGCAGGTTTGCCATCAAGGTGCTGAGAGACCGGCACACAGACAAGAAGCACTGAGACGAGTTGGGTTCGTCAAAAGAGATCACCGACAAGCCGAGGGTGTCTGATCGCCATGCTTAACCCTCTCCAAGCTCGGTCCACTCATCGACCTGGCGAAAGCAGCTCTCCAGCAGGAAGGGCATCCGGGCTCCATGGCTCCATCCCCCCGCGGCCTGCGGGCGGAAGCCGAAGCAAGCGAAGGTTTGACGAGTGCAGGTGAGGTGAAGCGGTGAAAGTACCGGACTCTGAGAACTCCGCCGGGCCCGGAGATGCTCTGAAAAGGCTGCGAAGCTGCGGCGCCCAAGCCGGGGACAGAGAGAGCTGGAGGGGAAGCGCAGCTGGCACTCATCATTGAAACTGCATGCTGCGCTCATACAACCATTCGGGCATTGTTGGTAGGAGTTCATGGTGTCTAGGTCCTACGGCGGCTGAAGGACCCACGTGCCGAGCTCGAACAGGGCTTTCGACATGCCTTCTCGGGACCGGGATTCGACGACCGACACGCGCGTTGGGCTGATTGCTGAATGAGTCCTTTCCAAGGTTGTTTGCGGCCTCCGGTGAGGCATTTGGAGCAAAACCGAGGAAGGTAACGGTAAAGCTGTCCTAGCAGTGCAGGACCATCCGATTTTCCGCTCGTAGCTTCCAACTGCGGGAGCCGCCGTGCAAGTTCGTACCAAGTCCTCCATGTGACATCGTACACCCCAAGAGTTCATGCACCTGCAGATCAAGCTGGGGCTCACGCACACCAGCATCTCCACCGGCGAAGCCTCCGCGCCAGGCTAACATTTAGCTTTTCAAGCGTTGGACATGGTAGAAGCCGCTGGAAACATTGCAAAGCTGTGGGGGGTGGTGATGTGTCTATACCGGCTGACTTGCAGTTTGAGGCAGCGTACCGCTGCAGCAGGACTACGTGCCCGCTCGATCCTTACGAGAAGGGAAACCCTGCGGGCATTTAACACATTTTGACGATGGATTCCATGTAGGCCCTGGGGGATGGGCCTGTGGCGAAGGATCCTTCGCCTGGCAAGGTGCTCGCTGTGTGTGTTGGGGAGCAACATGTGGCCATGTGGCGTCTGCAGAATGTAAGCGGAAGAACGGCGGCTTTGCAAAGTGTGCCACGTAACTCCGTGTAACATCGAATGTTTCTGGGCCGGCAGGGTGCAGCGCAGGAGGTCGTGCTCAGCCTTCCCGGTCCGGCACCGGAGGAGGAGGCTCTTGCCTTCCTTGATGTATGCAGACGTGAGTAAGAAGGGGCCTTCAAGAGTGTGGTCGGCAACAAGTTGTTCATTCATCTATCATCGCAATCTCGCATCAGATATCTAATTTTGTAGCATGTTGCAGCGGAGTTACTATCTCTGTCCGTTAAAAACACCGTCTGAATGACATCAGGCATCAGCCGTGTCAAAACACCGTCGACATGGTGAGTTAGCCACGACATTGTCAGTGTTTCAATGGTTATCAGTCTCAATTACTCGGGTCATCTGCGCGCGTCCGCATCATGCTGGTATCTCATGTGGGAACCAGACTACAACATATGAGCTGGTTGAACGCCGATACTGGCTTTATTGTTGGGTCTACGTTGAAATCTAAAGCTTGGTGTTCCACATCTGCCTGTCTCAATCCCGTCCAAACGAGGTCTCGGTCGGAAGAAACCCTGTAATACATTCGCGCAGGGATAGGCAGCTAGCTATCGTAGGGCATTCTGTGGTGAGTCGGTCATTCCTTTTCGTGTGTAAATCTCGGTGGTCAGTTAGTTCAGTTCGAATGGTTGCCAGAGTCAATGTCTCGGAGCGTGTCGGCTAGCCAGCAATTATTGTAGCAATGCAACAACAAGACGCGCTGGGGCAAACGTATTGAAACAAGAAGCGTAACTTTTCGACAGCATGAGCGTCCATGTGGTTCGTCAGGCTCAGTTTCAGACACGCGTATCAACTGCTATTCGCGGGTTCAGGGCCAGCTTAGGGTGTAGTGTAGGTTTGAGGCTCGTGTGATCGTTGAGGTCGGGGAGTCTTGACAGAACAAATGCAGCATAAACAGGGTGTTAGCTTCTGGCTACTAGCAGCTGGCGTCCGCCCGCCGCACATCCGCGTTCGGTCTTGGCCGAAGTTGCTGCACTTGTAAGGCTCACTGTAACGGAATTACTGGCTCCTGCTGATGCGCATATCCTTCTTGGAAAGAATCCACACTGGGTGATGTGCATTTCCGCCGGCTGATGTGCGATGAACCCACCCGTTGCAAAACAGCACACGATGTAGACTCCGCAGAACCTCGCAATGCATTTGGCGAAGTTTTCTGGCTGCATCGGGAGGCAGTCGATTGCACTGCGCTTCTAGAGGACACTTGGCTGTGAACCGCACGTGGGGAGTCCCAAATCGATGACTAACTCGATGATCTTGAGTCAGTGAGGACGTGGACATCATGTGGAAGAAGCTGCCGGCTGAGTAATCGAAATTTGCTACTGCCTCGTTGTACTTCAGAATTGCCCGCCAGACCAGACGATGCACTAGTACTTGAGGATAATCCTGCATCATGAAGATGCAAGTGCTGGGTGTTTATGCTGTGCCACTGTTTTGTCATCGCTTGTGATTTCCTGCCAAAGGCTCCTGGTGAAGCGGCAAGGAGCTAGCGCCAACATGGGAGCTCTGTTCAATGCGCGGCGATTGAAGGCACGCAAGGGTTGAGGGCTGGCCAGCACAGAGGGCGAAAAGTCCTGTCGGCAATCGTCGCTTGTAGAGCTTCAGGACACCAGCTGCACACGCTCTGTAGCAAGGGAGAGGATTGTCATGCCAGGTAGGTAGATGCCTCGAGCCTTGGACAGGACGAGGTGGAGGAGGCTTCGAAGTCCACCATCGACACGCAGCAGAAGAAGGCCAGCGCGGCATCAAACGGCAATGAGTCATTGAGCGACCAGTGGTGCGGTCTTGCTTGCAGCAGCATAGCCTGTGACGGAATACACAGTGGAAATCTTCGGGAGGCCATGGCTGCCGGAAAGGTGGGCGGTACACAACGTATTTTCTAGTCCTAGGGTCCCAGAGCTGGAGAGGAATGACTACTGTCGGTCGCTGTTTTCGTGCTCGCAAAGCTGGTCTTTGCAGTGAAGGTTGCCAACAAAGTGCATGCTGTGGATGTGGTGCCCTCAGCCTTGCCTCTGCAGGCCCTAATCAACAGCCACACTGACCCTGGCCCTTGTGCAGCAGGGTGTAGTTGCCCCAAGCTCAGCCTTGAGGATGCTTGCCTGGCTTTGGAGAAGAAGGCAGCTGCCGACTGCGAATAGATGACCGGCCACTCTTCTGCAGCACCAGCGCCAAAGATGCTAATTCTGATCTGATTGCAGGCGGTCAAGAACATGGGCGTGGCAAACGTCTGGAGGTTTGGCGGGGCTTGGGCCAAAACAGATTTCGCTGGAGGCCGCTGTATTCTGACCACAGGTTGCTGGAATAGCCCCTTTCCGTTTTCATCGTGATCCGACAAGCCAGTTCCATTTGCAGATGTGTTCAGCCAAGCTGTTGCAGACGGAATGACCTGGCTGTCCGCAGCGGTGGCAATGGTCTTTGCGAGATCATTGTCCCACACGTTAAGGGTCGGGGCCCTAGCTCTATGCGAGGTAAAAGTTCTTGGCTTTTTGGATGCTACAAGAATGCAGATTCTTTTGTTTGGCTTCGCCCAACCGCGGGAAAATCCCAGCCACTCACTTGCAGGACGCCTCGTGTTGACCTTCGATCATGTTTCAAGTCTGCGGGTTCAGCTTGAAGCATATCGCCTGAAGAAGCTCTAGAACATCCGCGACGAATGTTGCAGAATGGCCCTGCGCGCAGACAGCGGGGCAGGCTTAGAACTGCGAAGGTTGCGAATCCTGACGTTCAAGAACACATGGATTCAAGCCCACCTCCGAGGCGAGATCGAGGTCCGCATGTGCGTGACTGGTGCCAACCTCTCGGTCGAGCGGGGTTCGCTCATCCCGCCGCGGGCTTGGTGATCTCTTCTGTCTCTTCTTAAGCCACAGCTTTTGTGGCACCTGCATTTTTGTGAGATGGGATGCCTGCTCAGTCAGTGGCAGGAGCCCCTCACATGTACATCTTAGCAAAGCCAGCTTCGAGAGTCTGAGTCTGGCAAGGATGGCTCGCATGCAAATGGATGAGCTGAAGAGGCTTCTGGCCGAGCCGATAACTCAGGCTTGCGAGCTAGCCAAGAGATGTAAATCTAGCAACAGCGAATGTGCTGAACCTTATCTACTCTGTATTTGGATCTGCATTTGGCATTCGTACCACAGCTTCGGTTGCGACAGGGCAGGCAATAGCAGGGAGTTCGAAAGTGAACAGTTGCAGAAAGGTTGTCGGGTATTCAGTGCTGCACAGTCGTTGACCTCATGCCCCGCGCTGAGGGTCGAGTCGGCCAAATCTGAACAGATACGTCAGGCCCTCAGTGCCAGTTGTTTTGGACCCAGCGGCAGTTTTGAAGGTTCGAGTCCGTGAGAGAGCATCTTCAAAAGTACAGAAGGGCCGGGCGTCATCGAACCGTGCCTGGCATATGGATGAAACTGAGATACCGAGGCTTGGAGAGCGCGGTATTGCAATGCAGCAGGGATCTGAAGCAAAAGCTCGGCCCTCTGATCTGAACCTTCCTGGGTGCGTGAGTGCTTACAGTTACAGTCCCGAGGAGCTTCCATGTGTTGTCACATGCGGCTGCGCGCTGGATATGTCCCATGTCATCAAGTCTTGATTCAGCCTTTTCCACGAAGTCGTTTGCATAGTCGCCTTTTGTCGTTGTTATTCAAGTTACTGCTGTAAGCTGGACCGGCTCATTTATGCCAGTTCTTCCCTGCAGGAATCTGCTATGCATGTCCGGTTGTGTGGGTTTCGAGGCATTTTTGGCCCGTTTAAGTGCTTTCCACTGCACCTCGCTGCCGCTGCAACACGATGAACTCGCTCAGGACAGTTGGGACAGTTGAGTCGGGGCTTACTTAGGCGATTCTTCAGATCTGCACACAGGCAGTTGGCAAATGCTGCAAGATCTTGCAAGTGAGCTCTGCATCTGTACAATCTTTCTAATTCCTACCCGCAGGAGTTTCCTGGGGATGGCGGCTTGCGTCGTTGGCACCGGCGCCAGCAGCGCATGTGCGGACCATCCTGGTTCTCCGCTCATTTGCGAAGGGCCGAAGCTCTTTCTCTAAGCATCTCTATGCGTCCAGAATCACCTGCAGGTTGTGCTCATCTATCTGGCGACTGCTGTACACCAGGCGCAGTTCTAAACTGCTAAACCATGTTGATGACGGTCTGATCTTGCTGTCCCCAACAAGCTGGTGCAATAGCTTGGATTGTCCCAGAGCCGAAAGACTGAGAGGTGGTCCACAGATGGACTGCTGCAGCAACGCAACTGCTCTGCGACGGCTCGGAGGCTGGGTGGCTGACACTCGCTGATGCAAACAAGTGAATATCTCACACCTCGCTCGGAGGGTGCTGCAGTCGTCACTAAAGACAAGCGCATAATTGCACGATGAGCATACACTAGTGGTTGAGATTGTGGACCAGGCTTGTGTGTGGATACTAATTAGTACGCAAACAGACGGTCTTTGCCTCCAGTGAGTTAAGGTCAAGGTTTCGCGAGAGATTTGTCGTTGTCATCGTTTTTCGCTGGAGCAGCCGCGGACCACTGTACAGGCTGGCACTTGCTTGGCCAGGCCCCTATGTCAACAACTACGATGGCCAAAACCCACTGGGCATTCAGCCCAATGGCCAGAGAGCCTCTCCTCAATAGCTCATGAAGTTGAAGAAATGCAAGCTTCCTCCAGACTGAGCAAGCCCAGCTTTTCAGCTGGGACAGGGCTGAACAACACTGAGCCAGAAGCTCAGGAAGCCAGAATTATTTTCTGATGATCGGTGACTGGGGACGTGCTGACTCTCCTGGCCCATGTCAGCGAGCAGTGGCTGACCACTTGTAGCTTGCCACGAATCAGGTGCAGATTCAGGTTTTTGGGCTGCAGGTTTCAGCCGCGGTGAAATTATACTACCGCAAGCTACGCAAGAGATCGCAAGAGAGCTGTGGGGCAGTTGTGATTGCAATGAGGAAGGCGTACGTTTCGCGCCAGCAGCAGCAGGGGAAGAAGTTGCGGCCTGGCTTGGGATTGCTCTGGAGCCGTTTTGCTGTCAGCTTCTGCCAGAAACGGCAAGCGCGCACATGATCAGAAACGAAGATTTGCCTTGTCAGCCAAGGCTCTTCATAGCATCCGTTGGCGACAACTTTTACTGGAGTGGAGTAACACCAGGACGTTCTTGCTGGTTTGCCGACGATTGTGGACAGCAGACTAGTTTTGCTTCACTTGCACGCGGTGCACTTGAAAGCAGCTTTCAAGGCGCTTGGCAAGCGTCCTGGGCGTCCCTGTACGGTCCCAACGACCCGGGCAGCCCCCTGTACCAGGTGTCCCACCAGACAGGTTGATTGATTTGTGAGTGAGTTTGTGAACACCGTTCCTCAGTGGACAGGTGCCGTGGCTTTCTGTTCTCGGGAATCACGACCTGGGAAACGACGATCCATATGCAGCCTGTGCAGATCAAATGCAGGCTGCAGCCAAGTGAGAAAAACCGTCCTTTCCGATCGGATTCTGAGTGTCGACATCGCAAGGTCAAAGTTGTTGAATGCTGTGTTGGCAAGTGCACAGGCTCCCCTTGCAACCGTCAACGGCCAGCGATATGGCTGCGAACAGTTCAACGTGGACAAGACACTTGGATGCAGCGGACTCCGAGCTTTCTTGCTCCAGCCCTGGCCCTTGTTCCGAGTGCGGCTGGATCAGGAACCCCAACCGGCCTGGGAACACGAAACTGTACTGGCGGCTCGGAAGTTTGAGTTTGCCGTCATCATGATCAAATTCCCACGTGTCCACAATGGTGAGGCTGCCTGACTACAACTACCACTACGAGATTCCAGAAGCAGACCTGGAAGTGATCGCACCTTTCTTAGTCTCTAGAAACGAAGACTTACAGGTGATGCTCTCTTGATGCTGTGAAGGTGGCTGAGGCTGTTTATATGAGTATGTACGTCTTATGCAAAGCAATCATCGAAGCTCTTCAGTCGGTGAGGCCATCGACACGAACCAAGTTGAGACTGGGCAGCATGAGAGATTTCCCTCGCATATTGGTGCGCCTACATGCAGAACACGTGTGGTCGCCCGTTTGTCTTTGCAACAGTGTCAGCAGGACATCGAGGGCCTTGGAGGTGACTCAGGAGGACAATGTCTCGTCGCTTCTGACTTGCTTTTTCTCAAGCGGATCAGCGCAACTGATCAGCCGTGCGCTCTGAGACAAGGTCTCCCAGTAACTTGTAGCCTAACTTATATGTCTCCTCAAGAAATGGAAGTTCACGGGCGCGGAGCTCAAAGTGAGAGTGTTCGTACGAACGCATCGTGTCCACAGAGAACGATGCCCGTGACAGGAGCTTGGAAGATGGGAAATGTGTGTGGAGGTCAAGGAAACGTGGAGTGCTTCGACTGGCATCAAGACAGTCAAAGGATCTTCTTGGGCCCAGTTGTGCAGCTTGCTATCCATGCCAGAACATCGCACCCCATGCCAGGAACTTCCTGCAGAGGGTGAACCAGGCTGGCCAAGTGCCTGGACTGCCTTCGCACACAGCAGCATACACTAATTGCATCATTGCGTTGCTGCGATGATTCCTTTTGGTTTGTCTCGTTTCAGCATGAAAAGTTAACCATGCTTCTGGACGCTTCGAGTCGTCCGCATCAGCCCGGTCGCGGAGGCAGAAACAGGAAGGAAGGGGTTGTGGCGGACTGTCAACGGACTCACGAAACCAATGGGACTCCAAGTTGGGCGGGCTTTACTGAGGGATTGTGAGGAAGGGAAGCACGGGTTCTCCCCGAATCTCTGACCGCTTCGAGCCGAGGAAATTGCTCGGCACCGGCCGCCCTAGACGTACTGTAGATGCGGGTGCGAACAAGAGGTGGCCGGAAGATGCCGGAAGCTGTCACGTGCAACATCTGCAAGCCCGGATCGGAATCTCAGGAGCTTCTCCGACAGCGTGCGGCACAGGGCACAGCCAAGACAGTCTTGACCCTGTGACTGGTGACTTTTGTTGGGTCGCAAGCGGTTCATCGGGTTGAAGAGACCGGCACCGGTGCAAGCTTATCCCCTGCCTCCATGTCAAGCCGGCATCATGAATGTGTTGGTATTGGTGCTGCATCCCAGGATCATGCAGCACTATCCGGGACAGTGCCAAAAGGACAGGAGCATGAATCTGCAGTGAGCGACAGCTTGCCTGTGCATGCACGTGCAAGCGTTTGTGCGCGCGTGCGTGTCTGTCTGTGGCTCTGTCGGCTTGTCGCACGAGATGTGCATTCTCAGCGATTTGTCAGGATATCTTTCTATCAGCTTTGCGGCCGGGCCGACAGGCACGTCATGCAATCAAAAGCCCGAAGACCCGAAGAGGGATGGGCTTCTAATTTAGAATGCGGATTAGGCAGGGGTTCCAGCTTGGCGAATGGAACCTTGCCCTGGCGAGGTGAACGTCATCTGCGCGTACGGGCACGACCATTCGCAACGCTGTGATGGCACCGTGCCTTGACATCCGCTGGTCCTGTGACGTTGCGCTATGTTGCGCTCGTATCTCTGACAGTCCTCTCATTGCTGCCTCACGGATCTTCGCTTGGAAGAGTCGACGTGATGAGTGCGGCTTGGAACAGGCGCGACGCGCGAGGTCATTCGTTTGTGTACTCGTGCGGACCCTCTTGCAACTTCCCAGCCCGCCAACCAGAAGCAATTTCTGTGTAAGTCTAAGGGGCTGGGAATAGTATGGTACAGACGGGATACAACGAGAGCGAGTTCCTAGAGTCCTAGATGTGTCCGTCTGGTTCTGGCGCATAAGGGCATATCTGTCGCAAGAAGATGGGCATCGTGGGCAAGCGGTTTTGCAAGCGACGGTGATCTCCTTGCTCTTGCAAGCGTACTGCAGCACGAGCGGCCCCGGAATATTCCAGTTGGCTTGGAGACCTGAAGTGCAGAGCATTCTGACCGAGGACAACAACGGCCAGTGCAACATGATCCTGACCGGCGGAGGAGGCGGCTGCTGCCCGGGGGTCATCAGCCGTGCTGGCTTCTTGGCCTGGAGCTTTTGCCGTGACTCTTGAAGTGATGCAGCGCGTAGAGAGAGTACCGCGTTTGGTTCTGGTACTTATCACCACGTGGGTCGCGAAGACGTTCGTTTAATAGAAGATGCCCCAAACAGCCTTGAACTGAGCTTCTAGGCTTCGCAGCGGTCAGCCTAACCGATGATGGAGGACGACCATGGCTTCTGCCGAGTACTGCTGACAGTTCTGGCTATGGTAAAATTAACTCGTCCTTCCTGCTCCGTCATAATTCTGAGCCGGTTTCAATTGCGGGAGCCTAAAACCCCGCCTTGCCATTCTTTAAACTGGGGTGGGTGTTTTGGGCTTAGGATTAAGCGGAAGCAATTACTACGTCATGTGGTCGAGGAAGGTCATAAGCCGACAGAAAAGGAGTTCCAATGCACCCTTGCTGTTTCAATGTCAGCGCAGTTTAAGGGCAGACTCGGCCACTCCGTGCGAGGATATGTGTCTGACGTGCAGTCGGGCGACGTGACTGTGCCAGATGGTACATGCCGCCAGCAAGCATAGAGTGTGTGCTCGCCTCTGATGGTCTGTGGTCTCCAACATTCTCCAACGTCTTGTCGGCCAGTTTGGTGTGCCTACTGGCAGCTTCTTCAGCGAGCGAAGAGCAAGCTTTGCTTCTCGCGGCTGAATATGCCTTTTGTTCGGCATTGCTGAAAATTGATTGCAGTCCAGGCTACTTTCGCCGACTCACTCTATCCGACTACGTTTGATTTGATTCGCCGACCCCACGCTGCAGGCTCAGTGTTGTCGAACAACGTCGAACACATGTGTGCCAACACCGCCCTGATGCATGCTGCATGAAGAGGACATGGACACCTGATCCCCAGAAGCTAGACTCATCCCTTCCCCCTAATATTAAAAGGCATCGTCCTTGAAAAGTAGGAGGAGGAAATGTACTGTATTAAACGGGGGCTCGCAGGCATATGCAGCTGTGTCTCTTGCCCTCGCTACTGCACTTGCTCTTGTTCTTGCTGTTGCTCCTGCTCTTCCTCATTCTTTTTCTCTTACTCTTCCTTTTGCTCTTACTCCAGCTCTTGCTCTTTCGCCGCCCGAACGTGAACCTGTTAGGCGATCTGCACCATCTGGACGCCATCCTCGAAAGGAATGGTAGCGTGCAATTCGCTCGGCACTCTGCGATTTAACGCCATTTTTGCACACTCGAGACACGGAGACGAAATGTCACGCAGACAACACTATGACGCATCTCCTGCTCCTCACAGCATCTTGCAGCGAGTTTTGCCTGAAGCCCCGTGACGGAACCAATCCGTGTAGCGAGCTGTTTTGAATGGTCATGCAGATGCCTCGTGCCAATTTTCCAGCATGCTGGATAGTGCAGTCGACGACACGACTATTTTTTGAACCATCGGTCATGTTCGAGACATCGGGGAGCCAGAACAATTCACCAAAATGTCCTCCTTACTGCACTCTCCCAAAGTGTTGATATGCACTGGGCATGGCGTGGCTATGCCGTGCTCTTCAATTTTGTGCCATGGATTGGCGAAGAGGCTTGATCACTTCAAGCAATACCCAATCAGCACTTGGTGCTGGATGAGGGCCAACCCTTTTGGGCCCTCTCAATTCCAATTCGATGCTCTGTTGAGTTTTGGGAGGCCAGTCATATGACTGGCCACAGCTTCCGGCGCCACTTCCAAGCTCGCAAAAACATGGCTTGCTCCTTGCTCCCCTTTTTCCAAGGGCAGACGTCAGTCGTCTGCCGTGGACCGGAAGCGAGTTGGGCGTTCATCTGCGTGCGCTCAGATGTAGCCTCGCAGCGCCGCTGTGATTCAGGTCTCAACAATCTCTGTACAGCCAGCAATCTATAGAAATACGTGTTTGTAAATTGGGTCGGCAAGATGCAATCACCTCTCTTGGCATGTTCCTGGCTGCTCCAGATTGGGGACGAAGGATTTGGCCAAGATGATGCTGCAAAGCCATGCCGCGCTTGACAGGGACCGGCTGATTCAGATTAAGTGTTACCCAACTGTTGTTAAGAGAGTATTCTGGGGCCTTTGGGGTCGTGGGATCTTCAGCACACCAAGCGCAAAGATGCGGCCTTGCGCATCCAGCGGACCCGTTTGCTGCTATAGCTGGTTGCTAGAGTAGCTGCCACGGCAGTCAGCAACCCTAATTATTGGGGGCGGTCTTGATTGACCCCTTCCGCAGGAGTGGCGTGACGATTTCATCAGATCCCACGTTAAGTATGGGGATGAAATCCTCAGTCATTCAGCTTTCAGGGAGATTTCACCCAGGATGCCAGGACTCTGAAAATCACCGATCCTGTCTCGATCTGGGTCTCCCTTGCTGTTTGTTTTCCATGCCATGGCATCTCGGCAGTTAAAGCCACACTCCGGCTTCTGTTCCTCGATCTTCTTCGCATACTCCAGACGATGTCTCCCACTTTCAAATTTCAAATGATTGAGGCAGTGTTTGTGTCCAGAGTGATAGAGGAATCTCGAGGCTTTCCGGGAATGTGCTTGGGATAAGGCCGAAAGCACTGAGCCCTGAGCTAAAGGAAAATTTGCATCCGATCCATTCCATCCCATTCTTGGTGTCTGTCAGTCCAGACTACACAGGACTACACTGGACCATTCGGGGAGCTGCTCTGCCAAAACATGGTACCTGTCGCCGTGACCAGGTTCTCTCATTGCTGGCTGAGATATGATCAGACTGATACTGCGGCTTGCTGGTCCCCGATCTACGTAAAACCTGCTGAGGCACCAGAAGCTGATCGATCAGATAGAGAAGGAGCTGGAGGAGCTGGAGCTTCGTGGTACCAAGTTCGCCCGTGAATACGGAGCATGTGGGCTTCCCTTCTCACCCGTGCTTCGTTCTTCTGTCTGAGTCTAAGATCTGCATGTCCTTGGAACGGTGAGAAAGTTGCACACGGCTGTCAAGGATGGGGGACATAATTTCATGGGATTGCCGGTCTTTTGCACTTGTGTTTGTTTGCAAAGGTTTGTGCCAGTCCTGTCACGCAGTAGTTAGTTGCAGAACCCAGACGCTGAGCTTCGACGTAGTACCAAGCCACGTAATCCCAAGCCGTGAAGAGCTTCGCATGGCTGCGCTCACGACTCCCCTGGCGCCGCCACCGCCGGCATGGGCATTCCACGATGCTTCCCCGCCGCCCGTCCTGCTTACTTCACGGCTCTGCTGGTACTGCTATGTTCTCACCCTCTCAATCCCAGACCGATTGCTTGTGTCTCTGCACCCAGGATTCCGGTCACTGTCTATCAGGCCTGGATGGTGGCTGCCGTGGGCAGTTGTGCTGAGAGTCGTCCGGGTGTAGCACTGTAGAGCTTGAGCAGCAGACGGTCGCATGATGTCCGTGCTTATCCAGAATCTTGGAACCTGGGGCATTTTCATTGGCCTATGTTCAGCGGCGGTATTCAGATCTCTAACGAAGCAGTCATTGGGACGTGGAGCATCTTGAAACCCAAGCTGGCGGCTCAGGCCGCAGACCTCCAGGAGCTGTGCGAATTCGAAGTGACTTTGGCACTCTTCGTGAGCAGAAGCTTGTCAGTCTAGCGGCAAATACGATAAATACGCAAGTCGTAAAGCTCCAGCTTGACAGCTTGAGCGTTACAACAGGGAGCCATGTGTTCCCTCCAGGAGCTGCAGCGGTATGCGACAGAGCTGGCCAGACCTGCCAGGGCAGCGCTGCCACTGATGGCGCCACGGGCGCAGGAAATCCTCCAATCCCTGCACTGCAACCCGAGACCGCACCAACGGGACGGTGCTCATAACTGGCTCATACATGCGTGCAGTATGCTGCATGCCTTTGCAGGGTGTATTTAAGCTTTGCGGCTAGACAGCCGAAAAATCTGCTTGTCTCTTACCATCCAGCCGGGCATTTTCGCGGCAAGGTGCTCAGTGCCGGCAGAACTCAGTTGGACCAACGTTGCACTTTGGCTGAAACCGAGATACGCAGCAATACGGGGGACTTAGGGTTGGGCTCACGGCCATGCCCACCGGCTTGGGAGTCGCAGGAGTAACTGTGAGTTCTCGCACGGTGGCAGTACTCAAGCTGGTCTCTCTTTGTGCAAGATTGAGGAACTCTGCAGCCTACAGTTACAAGGTACAAGTATCAAGTATCCGTTAGCCAAGCAGCAGCCACGGCACTGCTGCATGGTCGTGCAGGTCTGCTGATGAATCCTCGTCATTCTTCGGGACTACGGAGTGTTTTCGCGGAGTGGCTGAGGGCGTTGACAGAAGATGGGCCACTCGTCCCTGAGTCGATGCAAGTCAAGGTGAGAATGTTCGCTGGTTGGATAATCGCTCTGCGCTGTTGCCTGCCAGGGCAGTTTCCATCCGAGCTCTTTGGGGTGCCACTGCAGACGTCAATGGCGCCCTTCGCCAGCTGCCAGCGCCAGACAGAGGTGCAACAAGTGCATCCATGCGATTGCTCTCAGTGATTCACTGATGTGAACAGAACGAAGCACGGAAATGCGAGACGTCAAGGCAATCAAGGATGAATTCATCGTGGCATCCCGTTCTGTCCTCATGCATGCATACTCAGCAAGCGCGGCGCCCGCTTCCCCCGACCTTCGGATTCGTCCTGCTCGTACTGTACTTACTTCTTGTGCTAGAAGATGGGTTCCACGGTGATGTCTGCCAATCAACTTCGCACACCGGAAGAAGATTGCAAGCTTCACAGGCCAGAGGAATGGTTCTTGTGTTCGCTGCGTCTCGCTTCGCAGGTCACCCTGGTTGGTTTAGTCAGGGATCAGCCGATGGAGAAGGGTGCGAATCCGTCTCGTTAAGACTCTACTTCTGCTCCAGACCCCATGTCGCCCCAGATAGGGGGTCTGGATATCTGGTTCTCTTCGCGTTCCGTCTGACTTCACATTGCTGCTAGCAGGAAGCGGAGTCGCACCGGAATGCCAGGGGTTTCACTCCGTGCAAAAGTTCGCGTAGACACACGAGAAAACATCCAAGGCGGCTCAGTTTCGTAAGCTTTGAAAGAGTCGGCGATAGTAATGGGTTAGCGACAAGGTTTCATTTGAGTCGGGGCCCCAAGTTGATGCAATCACTCAGGCGGTTCAGATACTATGGACCTTGACGAGCTTGTGAAGGCCCGGTGTCATGTTCAATGACCAGTTTATAGGAATACCCCAGCCGTGTGTGTTTTTTGATGCTGGTACAGTAGACACTTAAAGCTCCATGCGGCCGTCAAGGGAAAGCAAGTGCGTATGCCGCATATGTGTGCATAGACTTTCAGGTACGATAAGGTACTGGCACACTGGTGTTTGAAGCTGAAGAGCTCTCCGCAGAGGCTGCCGAGGCCTTGGTTTCTGCCGTGGGCGTGGCCTCCTTCGTGGCGATCGGCTTGGAGCTGGGCCACTGGCCGGCGGCTGCGAGCGGAACCTTCGCGAGCTCAGCTCGGTGCCCAGAGCTTGTAACACCCAAGCAGCTCAGTGACGCACAGCTCCTCAGACTCAGGCGATTTGGCTCGATCTGGGAGTGGACGAGCTACTGGGAGCAGGACATAGGGAGTAGTAGTGAGTGATATGATCCATTGTGGGCAAGCTGCCGCATGAGGCTACTGGTAGCACGAGTGAAATTTTGAAGAGACTGGTGAAGACACACTTTGGGGTCGCCAGGAGAATGCAGACATGAAGTGCAGCTTCAAAGTAAAGTGTGAGAAACCACTCGCCGTACTGCGGCAACTGGTTGCGAAAGGCTCCTGGCTTCAGTGATGTCTTTTTGCATGCAACAGGACTCGGCTTGACAGCGGTGAAGGCTCCTGCAATGCAACAGTTGTTCTTAGCCATGGAAGCTTCTTCAAGCAGCGGGGCATGCGAACTGGAGATCCAGTCATGCAGTTTCGCATGCTTGAAGTGAACACGTGTTGACACAAATCCTGGGAAGCTGCCCAAGGAGGCGCTCCGCGGTGAGCAGGCCATCGCCCCTCAACCACTGCTGCATCGTGGAAGCGATTCGCAGAGCGCAGCCTTTCTTGAGAGCTGTGCTTGACGCGAAATCAGAGTGACGAACAACGGCGAACTTGCTCTGCTGAGGCAGCTGCTGCGACCAGGGCGGCTCGGATAGCGGTTGCATCTGCGTCTCTGGGTCTCGCCGCGGCTGTTATTGCACAGGGTGGCGAGTACACCTGTACGCCTTTAGCCTTTAGGTGGCTCCCGTAGCTGAAGTTCGCTTTCTTGGGTTTTGTTTCGTTTACAGCTTAGAGAGAGCGAGAGAGCAACGGCCAACATTAAACAAGACACGAACGATGGGCGCTGGCGAGGGCGCGTGCCTGCCCTCCCCGACGCCTCGCAAGCAAGCAGGCAAGCACGAGAAACTCTGCCAAATTGCCCAATCTCCAGCAGTCCTCGCACAGAGAGCGTCGACCCGTCCGGAAGCATCAGATTTAATGCAGAGCGAAAGGTCACGGGAAGTGTCGCACAATGTTCAAGAGTAGGTGTAAATAGGCGGCTCCATGGCATGCTGTCGTGTCTGTGGTGTCAATGACAACATGCGCTTCGGGGTACATGCGGTCTCCAAGCAAGCTATAGCAAGCTGCATTGCGTGGGTGGGTGGGACTGCGGCCTTTCTGCATCCCCGCAAGGACGGAAGGAAAAGATGCCGAGAGAGAGAAAACGCGAGAGTGTTTGGTCTGAGTCTGGGGGAAGGGCACTTGTGTGCCCGAGTTGCGCCCAACACGGGAGGTGAGACTGCCGCATGGCCCGAGATTCTCCCATACCTGTAGGAGGCGAGCAGGCAACAACAGAGCGCGCATACGCAATGTCTTCAGAGGGCCAAAGGTATACCATGTGCACAGTGCTTTTTGTGGGATGTATGTATGTCTGTACGTATGTATGTGTATGTATTTATGTATGTATGTATGTATGTATCGGTGTAGTTTTTAATACACAGGCATATGCCATGCAGCGTCTTGAATGTAAAGCAGGCAAGGTAGTCTATGCATGCTGACGCCTCGAAGGCTTCGAGATTGCATGTACATCAAACGCTCACATGTTAAGCTGGTACGTACAAGAGCAGTACAAGTGCATGTAGTATCTTTATGTCTTGATGTAGGCATAGGTACCGCTAGCTTGTGCCGCATGCGATGCAAGGCTGTGTGGTGACCGGGTGATGTGCGTCGCTGTTTGTGGCCCGCCGGAGGACCCTGTCACAGGCATGCGCAGGGGAATCCGATTGGTTTGGGTGAATCAATCTGTGCAGTCAATCGTCATGTCAACTGAAAGTCTGTGGACAGTTTCAAGCTTAAGTGCTGCACTCGAAAGTTGACTTGGTAGGCACAGGAAGCTACATTATGCCATACTACTACTTAAGCCAAGCAAGACGTCACAAAAGCCTCCTCTGCAGTTGCGGCTGGTGAGTTTGCCAGCCTGCTAGCAACGGCACCAGCGGCCAGACCAACGCGCAGCTGCTAAGCGATGGTTCAGTGGGTTATCGGGTTCAAGAATAGTGTAGGATATGGATTGGATCTTTGTGCGTCGTGTCGACGGATTCTGCAAGCCCGTACTTTTGCACCCTTTTGTGAACATTAGTATTAGCAGGAACGCAGCAGCTTGTTGTTTCGCGCTTTTGGCTTAATGCAGCCATGACACGTGCTTGGAGGTTTGGGTTCAAGTTGACTTGGAAGCGGCAAGCCAGCCAAGCTCATGCCTCCTGGGCCCGGAAGCCAGTTGCTTTCGTCTCCAATATCCGTCTGTGGCAAACCGTACTGAGGTCTGGAAGTGACGGCTTTGCGTGAGGGCTTCGCCCAGGCCGGAGGAAATCGGATTGCTTGCGGCTGCAGCATTGGCTTGTCACAGAATCAGTAGGTATCTCTGCCACCTGTAATTACGTAGGTTGCAGTGTGCAGACTAGTCGAGCTTTGATTCTGCATTCGCGTTGAGATGGTCCAAACCCCACCTCTGCCATCTGTCAGAAGTACTATCCACACATTACACAGCCTTGATCGTCGGTATCTCGACCATGCCCCATTCTAGTTTTCTCCAGTGCAGCTGCCTCTGTTACGGGTGTGGAGGGTGAAGGGATCATCGGTGACAGGAAGGTTCGTGCAGACACCTAAGTGCACACCAACGAGCTGAGCACCCATGCTCCACATGTGGGTGTATAGTTTGCGCTTGCTGGAGGAAGCAGGCTTCCCCGCATTGCTTGGAGACGCTTTCGCAGGCGTCTTCCAGGCTCGCTGATGCTCCAGTCTGGAGGGGGCCTGCTCTGCCTTCTCTGTGAGCGTTGGGCCGTTGGGCCTCTGAGCACGAAAGGACCACCGCAGCTCTCTGGGCCCAGCACTCCCGGAGTTGCTCAGCGGGGAGGCGGCCGCAAGCAGTTGCCGAAAACTTCGCTTGAACTGGTGAGGAACCTGACGGGTTTGCAATGATTGCCAGTGCCAACTTCGGAAGCAGACCTCAAGGCCCCCACAACGACTCGAAAAAGAAGAAGCCCACAACCGGCCTTGGCCTTGTTTCCGCATTCTTCGTCCTTGGCCACCCAGCCTAGCCGCTTAGCCTTCTGCGAAGCATCCAAGGGCGGCAATCCGTCCCTTCGATGCCCAAGCAGGTGTGCACAAGCACTAGACTAGGGCTGTCGAGTATCCTGTCCCGCTAGCTCCCGCACTCCACAGACTTAGGAGCTCAAACGGAGCACTTTCCAGAAGCCTTCTGAGCGATAGTTGAGTAAGTCGTGCGAGTATTCTTGGGTATTTCCTGAGTGCTACGGAAATGCCAGCCCCTCCAAACCTTCCATTTATACGATCTGCTGGCCTCAGAGTGTCATACTAGCAGCGTGGGCCGTGGGTTTTCGAGTTGGGAGCTGTGCTCCACCAGTTCAGTCTACCCTCTTTGACATATCTCTTCGTTAGCCTACCTGTTTGGACACTGGGTCTGGCCTCGTGCAAGTCGTCGCCATCACTTCCTGGTATAGCCACGGTGGCGGTTTACTCCAGTAGGTAGGTCAAAATCAGCGAGGTTTCGGATATTTGGCCGAAGTCCTCCAGCACCTCGCTGCTTGTTCGGTGCATCTAGGGTAGGCTGCGGGCGGGTCTTCGGCATCATGTTCTGCCATCCTGTGATACCTTGGCTGCCTTATTTGGTAGGCAGCGCGAGCATTCTGAGCACGCTGGATGGAGTTCGGGCAGTCGAGATGCCGAAAGAGCTTAGGCGGTGGGTGATGACTTGGCCGTCCGGAAAAAGGTCTGTGAGCAAGATGAGTGACTTCGATGTCGCATTGGATCCAGGCTGCCGGCAGGTGCTAGCTCCTGTGAATTGGCAGGCTGTGCTCGAAGATGTTCTCGCCGCCACGGCTTGTCTGAAGACAAATGAGCCGCATTTTGGGGAGTGGTTACAGCCTGGACAGACATCGTTCCTGCATCAAGCCATTCAGTGCCGCAATCTTCTCCAGACGGCCAATTCAATCGCGGATCTTGATGAAATCGACTCGCGGTACAGTTCTTGGAAACACGACTGCTACCTGGGATGGCTCAGCGCTTTTTTGTGTGACCTTGTCTGTACATTGCATGAGGCATTGATGGGCGAACAGGAAAGTCGCGAAGCTTGGCCACTGAAGTGGAGAAAAGCGCAGCTGGAGCTGGAAGGTCTCTTCTTCTATGTCGAGTTGCCTTGGCATGTTCTGGTCTCACAGCCTTGGCCTGTAGCCGCATTGCTTGGGCGCCTGGCCGAAGCCATGCGGCTCATCAGCGATGAAAACACCTGCGACACCGCCAGAGGCTCGGAACACATGGATGACGCCCTCTACCAAGCCAGCCAAGACTGGTGGAAGCGACATGCAGATGCGGGCCCTGCGGGCGATGCAGATACGCCCCTATTGCCTTTGCATTTGGCGGAAGAGTTTCTGGCACTTGAAGCCTCAACGCCCCTGGTGCAACCATGGCGCTGCACATTTGGTGTTGTAGCGGCGCTGCTGTCGGCCGCAATTTGGGGGCTTAAGGCCAATCTGCTAGATGGTTTCTCCGATGGTCCATTAGCTGGGAGATCACTGCAAGCTCTGGTGTCTGGGCATGCGCAACAGATGACAAAGCTATGGGAAGAGCGGACACCTCAGTTCTTTTATGACCTTCTCACCAGCCGCTGGCGCATTCCAGACCTATTGGATCAGACGGCCGCGCTGTGGTTAGAGCCTATGCAACACCCATTGAAGACCACAGAAATCCCATCCGCCCGGCGCATTCTCTTCATAGGCGGTGGAGATACAACTTATCAGTGGGGCTCCTTCACAGTTCGTGGAAGGCAGATGGCGCGGGGGTTTCGCAAACACGGCGTCGATGCAAGAGCCTGGAATTCGCCATGCACGGCATGGTGTAAGCATGAGCAAACCTGGTACCCAACAAGCATCGTACATGTAAAGTACATCTGTTCGTGCGCGGTCGAAAGCTGGCCGCAGGCAGCCCACATTTTCGATCCCGTTGATAATTTCAAGGTGCTCGACAACATCAGTGAGATGGATGCAATACTCGTGCAGACGTCAGCTTGCAAGAAGGATCTGCAGGATCACCCGACACTGCGTCCAATCTTGAATTCC